AGCATGTGTCTCTTAGGAGACTCCCTGCAAAAATTCTTGAAGATTGTCCTCCCCTAGGGAACCCCCCTCAAGCCTGACTCTGAGATTGCCTTAGGACTGGTGAGGCATTAGGGGATTGGAAGCATGACTGCCAAATTCCCTGGCCCTTCGTCCAGTCTGCTGCTGTCAGCTGGGACCTCCAGGTGCAGAACACGGGCTCCGGGCCCCATCCTCTGCCCTTCCCGCAAAGGCCAGGGGAGGGGGACGGGGGCAGCCATTTTCCCCCCTCGCAACAGACATAGTCTAGAGAAGCAGTGGTTAGGACACCCTGGGTTTCATCTTTCGTTCTTGACAACGTGGTGACGGTAGGGTTGCTGGCCACCAGTCTGGTTCCAAGTTTTAATTCAAGCTTGAGTAGACTTGCATTGTTTTCATCTTACTTGAAATTCTCCACTCCCTGAGCATATCCCTCACTCTTAGCCTGGTTATGCTGCTTTAGGTATTTCATATTCGGTGAATGACCTTTAGTGACTTCTGTTGCTTCCTCTCTTAGTGAGAAGGTTGTCACGTCATTCTCTTGTAGCAACATGGCTGGTTTTCTCTTCTTCTGTGCCTCAGTGTGTTCTCTACTCTGAAACGTCCTTCCTTCGGGTCCTGGTGAGCGTTAGGATTCCTTCAGGACTGAACTCAAACTCTGCTCTGGCTCAGACACCACCTCTGGCTCGCCCTCCCTGTGTCCGTGTCCGGCATCTCTGAGTCCCCACACCGCGTGTCTCAGCGTGTGCGTGCCACTGATGTGGCTGTCGCCACCACTGTATTATAAGCCCCAGTGGGACCAGACTCTTCCATCCGTGAGTTCGCAGCATCTCACTAACATGGTATCTGGTAAACGAAGAAATAAGTGAACGAATACGTAGTGCCAGTCTGACTGTGTCAGATCTTTGAAACCATTTTCTGTCGTAGGAAAGGAATCCCTTTATTACACCTTGAAACTTTCCACTAAATGTCAGCTCCTTTCCGTCACTTTCTTGCTCCACTCAACAAATCTCCCAGACTTCTTTGGAATAATGAAATTTTGAGGAAGTGAAACAACATTATGAAAACGACTCCTCCAAACCGTTTTTTTTTTTTTTTTGTCTTCCTTGATGTTTATATCCCATAAATTTGTAACTCAAATGCACTGTTCGTGATAATGAGCCATTCTTAATACAGTACTGATTGAACACCCCTCTCCAGGAAGGTCACAGTGCTGTACACACATGATCCCCATAGTCTTCATGACATACCTGAAGGAGGGTGACCGCCCATTCAGAATTCCCCGCGCTCTGACAATCCAGCTATGTGAAGTTGACCTTCTCTCTCTCTCTCGGGGCCAGGGGAGGACCAGAGCAAAGTTCAAGTCTGCAGTGGCAATGGCCATGTTCTTACTACTGATCTTACATTCCAGAGCCTTCGGGGCAGTCTCAGGTCAGAAACGGAGCTGAGTCTCTCGGCAGCTGCAGGAAAACCAAGAGTCAAGTCTTGGAGTAATACTCATCATAAAGTGCGTAGTTGAAGTGTTCAGGGAGGTCAGAGGAGGGAAGGTGACTTCCGCCTGGTGGGGTACGGCAGCACCTTCAGTGGGTGGGGCCTGCGGTCCTTCATCGTAGGCTCGTGCGTCCAAGTCCCATGTTGGGCATTTAGTAGAGAAGCAGTGTGATCTGGGGGTAATCGGCCCTGAATGAAATGGAGAGAGCTAAGATATTTGATCCCAACTCTGTCATTAGCTGTGCGTGTCCTTAGTGAAGTCACAGTTCCCTTCAGCCGTATAAATGAAGAGCATTGGGCTGAATGCTCCCCAAGCCCTTGACAGCTTCAGAGCAGAACGATTTCTGTTCTTGCAGAAGCTCCCAGAGCTGCTGCCCCAGACCTCCATGCACATCAGAGGTCCGGCTGAATGCCCGTAGCACTCTGTCTGGGCCCCTTTTCTGATGTTTGCCACCGTTTGTTCTTCTTTCTCTTTGTGCACATCAGCCGCCATGATGGATGGGAAGCTGGCTGAGGGCAAGAGTCCTCTTCATTCATTTTTGTGTCCTGTACATCGTGTAGGTACGCTCACCTCCTCTCTCCTTGTCTCAACCTGTGACTCTCATCTGAGCCTTTTCAGCACGTTGGCCTGTTGTCTTTGCTCTCCGGAAAAGAAAGATGCCATGTCCGCATCCTCTGCCTCAGACTCCACTGAGCCAATCTTCTTGAGATAGTCGTGTACGGTTCTCGTATCTCCTGCTGCTCTCCTCCCTATTACTCCCCCAGCTCCGTGCAGTGTGGCATTCTGGCCCCGCCGCCCCACAGAAACTGCTTTTGATCAGTTCCCAGAAGAAGATCATATTGTCATATCCAGAAGGATCCTTGGGCATTTCCATCGTAGCATGATCTGCCCACCATCTTATTCTGAAAGCTCTCCCGCGGGGCTCCTGCGGAACCAGTTATTCCTGCTCAAACCGTCTTCAATTCCTCTTTCCTGATATTCTCTGTGGTTCTCTTGATAGTCCTTGGCTCTTGGCTCTTTTCACTGTGCGTTCCCTCCTGGACGGTTTCACCCAGGCCCACGGCCCCAGAGCCGTCACTACAGCCTGGGTGCTCTGTGGCACCCAACTTCTCTCCAGCCCCAGTCGCGTCGAGTGTGGCGTGGCCAGACCTGCACTAATCAGTCTCCCCCAAAACTACTTTTCTCATGTTTCCCCTCTTTGGGCCATGCTCCCATGATGGTTCTCACTCCCCCTCATCCCCACAACCAGCCAGTTGCCTCTGAGGTTTAGACCTTCATCAGTTTCACACGGATGTCTGCAGTAGCCTCTTGGCTGCCCCCCCCCACCCTGTCCCAATTTATCCACCACATCGTAGCCAGAAAGGACTTTTCTGGAATTTAGATTTGATCTTGTTGCCCTTGCTACCTGAATCTTCTATGCCTGACTTGACTTTTAGACACAATCTCAGTTCCTTAGTACACAGGATCCTCTGAGACCCAGGTGCCAACTGCCTTTGCATCTCCTTCTGGCGCCCTTCCCCACAGACATATTGGCCTCCTTGCTAGGAGGAAGTATGCTTTTTCTCACCATTGTGCCTTGCACAGGATATTCTCTTGGTTTCAGATGCCATTTCCCCCTCTTCGGCCAGCAAGTCCAACTTGACCTTTAGGACTCAAATCACATGTCCCCTTTGCTAAGAAGCCTTCACTTTCCTCCCCAGGCAGAATGAAGTGCCTGCTCCCTTGAGCTCCTGCACCCCCTTGTTCTTCTGTCTAGCATAGCACTTCCCATGTTGCTCCTGGGGCTCTTGACACGTCAGCCTCCCCCATACCCACTGAGCACCCGAAGGGCCTGAAATTCTTTATTGGGCCTTGTTCCCCAGTTCCTAGCCTAGAGCCTGAGACACAGTGGGTACTTCACCCATCTTTGCTGAATGGATGGATAAAGGCATGCTAGAAGGGTAGCCACGCAGGGACTCAGCCTGTCTTCCCCAAGCGTTAGCTGTAGGATAGAGCCCACCTTACCCAGCCCAAACCAGGACTTCGCACATTTTACTTCTGTCTGCTTTTTCGGGATAAATTCCAGTCTTTTCTGAAAAGACTGGTCTACTTACCCCTGAACATTCCATTCTCATTCTAGTCTCTCCTCCACAAATTGAATATGTTAATGGAGTGGGAATCCGAGTAGACCCCACATGTAAAGGCCTCTGTTCTATGCATAAGAGCATCTTGCCTTTTAGAATAAACGAAGCAGCCCTGAATTATTTAGCCTCTCGTCCCCTGAGAGTACTCCCTCTTTCCCGTTCCCCTTGTGTTTTGAAGACCCTGCCAGGCATTAGCTACACATGGCCCTAACTGCCTGATGATCATTTTCCATCATTTAAGTGCCAGAGCCAAGTACCATTCCCCTTTCCTTTAAATTAGATAAAACCCAGAGCTGGGGCTTGCAAGTGATGGAAGTCCACTGGGGGAATTAAAGGTTCAGAGAGAACGGGACCCATTATAATAAAAGCATTTGCACGGCCAGTGATTGCATCTACACTGTGGCTCTGAGGTTCCTTGGGGTATGATGAAATATAAAGCGAGAGGACCTTTGAAAGTGGTTGGAGGAATTTATTTTAATTGGAAATGGTGGTAGTGTTCTGCGCTTGGAGTAAACTCTGTGGATCATGCACGGTGGGCATTGTGTAAAGAGCCACAGAGCACCCGGGGCACCGCGATTCAGGCCCTTGGCGCCACTCTGTCTCAGGTTCCTCCCACTCCTGCACACCTACCAAGCGAACCTGATCGTCAGATCCGTGCCTCCTGCCCTCCCTCCTCCCTCCCCTCCCTTCTCCATCCCTTTAGTAGCTCTGCATTCCTCTGTCATGCTTTGTATTTGAGAAAAATTACATAATAGCGCCTAAATCAATCAACTGCTAGACCTTCAAATTACTCATAATTGTGAGGTCTAAGAAAAATCCCTGCAGCAGAGAGCACGGCCGGAAGAAAAACAAAGACAATCTGCATTTCAATGTGTAATATACTACAGAATAACAGCAGTTCATTTTTCCCAGCATGTCCTGTGCCCTGTCCACGGCGCCCCCTTTATATGCCTCTGCTCATTTCATTCCTGCCGTGCAGGTGTTACCTCCGTTGCACAGATAAGGAAACTGAGGCTCAGAGAAGTTAGGACGCTTGCCCAAAATCATGTGGCAATGATGAATGGCAGAGCCAGAACTGCCTATAAGATATGGGCAGAAACTATACTGAGTGGCAGAACCAGGTTTCAAACTCAGGTCCGACTGCAAAGCCCAATCCTGTGTCGCAGGGCCCAGTGACTCAAAAGGGTTCTATTCCTGAACGTCACCACAGGCTTGCATTTTCATGGGGTTACTTTTGACGGGGAGAGATCCTGTTATTACTGATGTGTCCTTATAACAGTTTGAGGACTCAAGTTTAATAGTGTGGGGTTTCTGAGACTGTTCATACAGTTGTTCAATCTGCCTTTACTTTCTCACTTTTGTATTTTTAGATGCATCATCCCATTCAGATGAAACCTGCAGATAGTGAAAAGTCAAACGGTAGGTGGTGACCAACTGTCTCATGTAATACTGTCTGTTTCTTTCAATGAAGGAGTCAGACGGGGGAGGGAAGAGCCGGCCCCACGTGCTTCCTGCTCTGGGAAAAGTGGGGGGTACGTCTCTGGTGTAAAGATCTGTTGAAGACATTGCAAGAAATGGTTTTCCGTGTCCCTCTGTTCGGGGCTTGCTCTGTGTGGTAAGTCTGTGGCCTTTGCCTCTTGTTGATGCCCTCCCACAGAGCAAGCATCCCAGGACACCTGATGGAGAGGAAGGACCTCAGGGTGTGCAAAGCAGATGAGCGGGAAAGGGCTCACCCACCAAGAATCCTGCTTGTCTTTTCTCCTCCTTTGCTGTGTTCCTCTATGGTTGTTCCGATGCATCTGCATCCAAATTCATTCAGAATTCAGCCAGCTGATTACATAAACGGATGCTCAGTACTAAAATATGCATGGGATGATGTCTGTGAAATCATCGAGATTTACCTCTCCAAGATGCGGGCAGGCCGGTAGCCACATTTCTCTCTCCTAACTTTCTGCTTCCGTTTACACCCGCCTTCTGTCCCATTTTGTTCTTTGAATTCACTGAAATGTATGTTAAAGGAATCTTCTACCTTCTCAGACCTCGGCACATCTCCGTCCCCCAAGACTGACATAATCAGCACTGTTTGCTTCCACAGGCAGGTCTGCACCTCATTAATTAGTAATCAGGGCAGAAGCCATGCACTCAGAGATCTGCATATCTGCAAATGTAAATTATGATTGGGGTCTAAATCTCTCCACAAGGCATTTTTTGCTAATTGTAGTGCATCCCATTTTCTGGCTTCTCCACAGACTAGGAAGTTTTGAAGAAAATTCCAAGTGAGAGCATGGTGCCACCAGCACCTGATTGATCCGTCAGGGAGTAGACTTGGGCGCTTACCCCCTCTCCCCCCCATCTCCTCCACCACTGCACCCCGTCTGAGAGTCTGTTCCCTTCTTCCCGTACCACATACCGCAAAGGCAGCATCCAGCATCAGATGGTCCGAAACCTCACCCTGCTTTCCTGCAGGACCCCCGTCAGGTGACTTCACCCCTTTATTCAGCAGTTACCCCATGATGACTTACTGTGGGTGGGGCCTGTTGCTAGGGGCTGGGCTTCGGCCCTGAGTCTGAAGCAGAATAAGGGAAAGGACTAAGAAAGACACTGCCCTGACCCCATGGAACTTACTGATGTTGAGTCTACTGATCTAGCAGTCACTTAACAACCGAACTTGGATCTCCTCATTCATGAAATGGGAGTCATGGTCACTACCTCCATAGATAGGCTTTTTTCTTTTTTTTTTTTTTTTTTAGACTCACATAAGATACAACAGTGCTTTGCAAATGATAGAGCACCACTTCTCTAAAATGTGGGTTATTGTTACCTCCTGGATTTTTCTCTGGCCTCATAGGGCTCTGCACTGAGAGTGTCTACAGGCGAAAGGCCAGGTGCCCATGCTGACTCCTGAGCCTTTTTGCTCCAGAAATACACATTTACAGTCTGTCCTGTTCCTCATGGGAGAGAGGAGTTGTGTATTCGGGGGATGAACCCTGTCTGTGACGTCATCTGGGAGCTCCTGGCCCCTAAGAGATGCTTTCTGTCTTTGGACTCTTAATTCTCTAGCCTGGGTCAGGACAAGGGCCATGAAGGAGGCATGGTCTTATTTCTGAACCTTGGGTCACTGTTATAAAATTCCTCTGGAGATGTGTGCCCTGGAATACCCAAGTAGCTGGACCATGAAAGGGTTTCTTCTTTAGCTTTGCCGCTGTGTGGACACAACGCCTGACTTAGAGAACCCGTTCTATAGGCTAGCCACCTGGAGGTCTCAATTGGTTGGTCGCCCTTGCTTCTGGTGTCACCTCTGGACTCCGAGGCTGATGTTTGCTCTGGGTCTAGAACGGCAGCAACAGAGCAGAACCACTCTCAGCCAACCGTTTTGCACGATCTCAGAAGCCAAGCAGGATTAGACACTGTTATTACTAAGATGCAAAGATACCTAAAAATGCCATTGTTCAGGAAGCAACTCAGGGTAGCCGGTGAAAGCTATCTCGAGGAGCCCAGACTTGACCCCTGCCTGACCGTGCAGGTGTTGGCTGGGTCCTTGGGCAGGTTCTGTAACCTCACCCAGCCCCCATATCCCCGGCTGTGAGAGGGGGCGCTCGGTGGTCCGCAGTCTGAATTCTTCTTGTGACGCCCACCTTACGGGGTGCTTTGAGGAGTACATAAGTTAACATCTACAAAGAACTTGGCCTAATGCCTGGCACTTCGCTCTGCTAAGTCATCGGCGCGCTTGTGGGTGGTGAGGCGGTGGTGTTATGCTTTGTGGGCAGCCGAGGCTGCTGCTCCTACCAAAGCACGGCTCCGGACACATGCAGGAAAAACCACCTCCACACACCTTCTCGCTGGGCCAGTTCTTCCTTTGCTTTATAGATTGACCTTCACTTTCTGAGTTTCCAGAGCCAGGCGGGGTGGGGGGGCGGGGGGAGTCAAAAAGTGTAAGTGGACTGAAAGCTCCTTTTAAGGCATTTTTCCTTATGGAGGTGCAAAGTCTGTGCCTCACCTTGAGAGACGGAACAGGCCTCAGGGTTCTCCTTGGACCTGGCTGAGGAATCAGGAGCAATGTATCATTTTCGAAAGCAAGTGATGAAAGGCGCAAGTCCTTTCTGATTTCACGTGGCAGTTTTGACAGGTAAGCATGGTTTCCAAAGCTCATAGAGCACAAAGATTTCTTTGGTTCAGATGCTCTCAATAGCTCCTGGAGTTGTGAAAGAGAGATAACGAGCTCTAATTGCACCTGTATTGGGTTTGCTGACATTTATGGATAGCACAAAGGACTCATCACAGTTAGACAGTAACCATCTTCATTATCAGTATGTTCGGCTTTTGGAAATTTTGTATTTGCTGAGCAAGAAAGGGCTGCTAATCACTGATTAATTAGTGATGGACAAATGAATTCCAGAAAGCAATCACTCTTTGAAGCCTTCGTCCATCTAGAGATTCTGACACAGGGAACCACCGTGGTAAGCCCAAACACACTAGGTTGCTCTTGGATCTGCCCTGCCCTTCAGTATTTTCCTACACAGGCTTTCCAGATCTCCAGGCCTCCTAGAGCCTGCCCTCTTAATTGTCTCTGATTTAAGCTGCAGCCTCTAGCATATTTCTGCAAACTCAGAGCATTTTACTTCTAACTGTGCCAGGTGTTCAAAAAATCCCGTTCTGGATCAGCAATAAAATACTGGGGTCTTTAGGAAGAACACACTGAATAAATACCCAAATTTCACAGATTCCAAGTTGTCTTACCATTCTTCCACTGCGTACAGCTGAGTAATGGCAGGGGAAGAGGCTTGACTGAGGAGGTGTGGATTCTGGATTGCAGCATACCCTAGCACATAGTTACTGTCTTTCATTCTGTATACCATGGGAGGGCCTCTTTTCCAGCTTTGTTTGCTATGCAGGAAAAGGTACCACCTGTGCAAGATTGAAAAGTAAATGCAGTTGCCTGATCTGAAGTTTATCTAGCAGTAAGTGATAAGAAAAGCAGAGAGGTTGCCTTTGGTTCTGTGCTGGGGGTCTCAGTGACCAGCCAGTGTTCACTCATGTCGTGCTCCTGGTTGAGAGGGTTGGTGTTTTTGTTTTGTTTTACTCTGTAGACAGCATAAATGCATCCTGCTTGAACCCTCCAACCTCACAACTTGTTGGGGCTCCTTAGAGCCTCACATCCAGAAATGCCAAGTAAGCCCTTTCTCTTTTCTCAAGGCCTCCGAAACCCCTGGTGTCCATGCATTGAGTTCAGAGCTCACAGGGTCAAAATGACGGAACGTGGTCGGGGAGGTTGCAGGTTTGCAAGCCTCCAGTAAAGATGGGAATCACAGGGCATCCCCATCCGGTCACTTTCCAGTGTACTGGAGGAGGAAGAAATAATTTTGAAATTCAAAGTGGAGAGACTCACGGATTTGGAGGCAGTAATTAAATGCCATATGTTAGCACTAACACATTGAAAAGTTGTTAATTAATTCAGGCCGCCCTGAATCCAGGTGTGACTTTGACAGATTGTACACCAGGGTGTTCGCACAGACTTACAATTAGGGATTTTTCAAAAACGAAGTTTCTATTCCTCAAACTTAAAAAAGTCCCCACTTAAAACTTAAAATATTAACCCGTTCTCATGCAACGGGAGGAGAGCTTGAAATGGTCCCTGGTTTTGGAATAGCTTCCGGTCCTGTCGTAATGAGTGATGGGGTCGCCCCACCAGCACAGCACTCGGTGTAAAAAGTATCGCCCCTGAAGGAAAGTAGACTTTTCTTTCCTTCCTTTTTTTTTTTTAATTTCCGTAAAGCACTTAACAGGATACTGTAAACACAGTAGGTTTGTTGAAGCAATCCACAGTGCCGTGGATTGAAAACCTAAGTGAGCCGCTGCCTGCCTATGGACACTGAGGAAAAAAACCCCACCAAGAAATTCATCAAAAATTGATGGAAAGTTCAGTGACTGCAGGATAATTATGTTTATTTAAAATGCTGACAAAGCTGTTTAGGGATCCTCAGACTGGGAATCCCAGGAATAAGTTTTACAAATAAATTTTCACTGGGAAAACTCGAGGGGGAAGAAAGCGGGGAGTGAGTAGTTCTCCCCTTTTGCCCTTGAAGCATGCGCGGCCCCAGCTGTTAGAACCACAGAGGTACTAGGGCTAGCGAAGGATTGCAAACATCCAGCTTCCCGGATGGGGCGCGCGCCCGGGAGGACATCGGCATTTCGGAAAGCGTGTGGGAGGTGTAGGTTTCCGTTATATTTCCTTAGCTACTACTTAGCATTGAAAAGAGCGTTCTCTTCCATCTCCCTGCCCGGGTTTAGCCAGCGGGATGCCTCGGAAGCCAGGGTTTGTTGACCGGTTGTTTCCAGTTCTTACTATGCCTCTTAGGAAAAATCATTCTTTAGCTTATTCGGGAGCTGCACATTTAGCTTACGCCTGCATCACCCTGGAGCTCCAAACCCGCAGTGTTTCAGCTCCATGCCATCATGATAGGTTTCCCAGTGAAACCAAGGGCTCTCTGGGAATTTATCATTTACTTTTGTTTGAAAGAACTAAAACGGGATCTTTCAGAATAAGAAGAAATTCAATAGGATGATTTTTTTTTTTTTTTTTTTTTTTTTTTTTACTCTCAAGAAGATATTGGCCACAGCTTCCTCAGGTAGAGGTCCTAGAGATGGGGGGCGGGGAGGAGGTTACAACTGCGACTAGAAGTTGGCCGCTCCCTGCTCTGTGGCACTTAAGTCCGTTCCTTCCCGTCGGGGGGATGCCGTGTTCCCTCTGGGCCACCATGTCATCCTGGTGACCCCACTGTTGGTGAGCACAGATGCTACTCCCACCACTAACCCATAGATCACTGGTAGCTCACCTGCTCTGATGGGAAAGAAAAGAGCTTCTTAAATGTAAGATTGTTATCTCAGGGATGAAGGCAGGTCCTCACCAGCTTCCCCCTACGACTCAGAGCCAGTGATGCCATTGCCCACGTCCACTTTGACGTACCCATTGCTGGGTAGCAATTACACCCAGGACAGGGTGTTCCTTTCCTTATACCTTGTGAGGCCCCCATGCTTCTACCAGTCTCTCCCTGTGCTCCTTAAAGGCCAGCTTACATGCCTTTCTCAAGCTCTTGGCACACAATCAGTAGCTCATGGTGCTGTGGCTTCGTGGCTTCCGATGGTCCTCAGAGCCCGAGTTTCTCTGCACTATCTCGGGGGCTGCCTGAGTGCAGAGCGCGGCTGGTGGGTGGGATTCTGGGCTTCAGCGTTTCTGCCCCCACCCCCCCGCCCCACTTCTCTCTGTTCCTTAAGAAAGCAAGGAAAGAGAAGAGTTGAAATTCATTTTATGGATCATAAGACCAAGGTCCCCAGAAGTTTTCTCACTCCCCAAGGTCGCACATCAACTCGATGGCAGGGCTGGGACCAGGCAAGTCTCCTGACCTGGCCCTGCCCTTCCCCGGAGGCCTCCTTTCCCTCCTCTGCTCTCGTAGGAAACGGCACCACCGGGGACAGGACTGGAGCCAGCAGTGGGCCAGCAGGTGTGGTCCAGGTTAGGCCCCCTCCTTGCTGAATGACCCCAGGCAAGTTCCCTCCCTGCCCCACGGGGTGGGGGGGGGTGTCTTTCAGAGTGAGACAAAACGTCTTTCAAGTCTCTCACTTCCAGTCTGGGCTCTACGGGAAGGAGCACTTAGCTGCCCCACTCAGGCCTCTCAGAAAGAACTGCACTGTCCGCTAGAATGTCACCTGTGGCTTTTTAAATTTAAATTAGTTACAATTGAATTACAACAACAATTCAGTTTGTCACACTGGTCACGGTTCAAGTGCTCAGGAGCCACACATGGCTTTAGCTACTGCAGTGGACACCACAGACAGAAGGGTTCCCCTCACGGACGGATGTGGCTTCAGAGCAAACCTCCCTGTGTCCCATCCCTGCTTCCCCCACAGATCTCTCCTGGGCCCCGGCGGGGGGGGGGGTGTTGGTGTCCAGGCCAGTTCCACTTAGGCACCAAGAGCACCTGGCCCTAGAAAGCCTAAAATACATTCTTGTTTAAATGAAAACGAGACACTGACTGTCCAGGGCAAGAATAAGGGAGACAGAGATAAAAGCCAGTTGAAGAGCAACGGTGAGATGATGATAGAGACACACGAAGCTATGAACACAGCGGTGGACGGCAGGGCCCTAAGCCAGCCCGCCTCAGGTGCTCCTGCCTCCAGCTGCCCTTGCTCCCAGTCCTAAGAAATGGATTAAAATGCAACACAGGAAGTAAGCAAGACTCTTCCCCATGGATGTCTAGAACGGGTTTTTTTTTTTCTTTTTTTTTTTCTCTTTCCTAAAAAAAGGCTGCAAACACTGTCCTGAAATCAGTGATAATTGAGCCTTTGAGGCTAAATGTAGGCCACTTATCCTGAGCGCAAGCTTGTGGATTTTGAGGAAAATCTCCCAGGTCATCAGAGGTAAACCTTGCCCAGTCTTTCCCTCCTGGCAGTTTCCAAGATTAGAATGGGCGTGTGGTTGTTTGTTAAGGGCTCCACCCCGAGCCTGGGGCCGTCCTGATGGGCTTCTCAAGTAGCCACAGCCCCGTTCCCTCCCTACAGTTGGCTTGCTCTTCAGTTGCAGATGCAGACCATGCCTTGTCCAGGTTAGAGCTGCATATCCAGTGTGACAGACAGATGGATAGACAGGTTATTTACTGGCTCTCCAGAGAGACGAGCGTCTCCCTTACCTCTTATTGTCTGGGTCCACGGGGCAAAGCTATTTGAAATTGGGGGAGAAGGTCTTCTCCAACGAGCCGCCCTATTAAAAGTTCTGTTTCCTATGGCACTTCCTCTGTTCATCCCATTTTTCTTTCCCTGACCCTTTTTCTTTCTCAGTCATTCAAGTTAAAAGAACACCTACAAAAAAATTCAAAGGCGTATTCCAAAATATCTCTATGTCACAGTAACATTTAGCAACCGCATGGAGCTTTAACATGTTAGTAAGCACTGTGAGTCTCCAAACAGGGTGGGAAGGGGGGGAGGACTTTGTTGGTTTCCTGTCCTCTTAAGGTGTCGTAGGGGTACGCACGAGCTCACAGAGGAAGGCAGTGTCTGGGAAGGCCTGGGTGGGAGAGCAGAGCTGGGGAGCGGGGCATGGAAGTCGGAAGAGCTGGCCTTGGGGCGCTGCTTCCTCTCACATGACTGGGGGCCCCCAGCTTGAGTGGTAATGAAGCATTGATTACAAGAAAAGAGATAAAAATGGCCTTTGCTCATTCATTATTTTTATCTCCTAGCTGTGGAAGACCGAAAATTGTTCATAGGAATGGTTTCGAAGAAATGTAATGAGAATGATATCAGGGTGATGTTTTCTCCATTTGGCCAGATAGAAGAATGCCGGATTCTCCGGGGACCCGACGGGCTGAGTCGAGGTGAGTGTGCCGTCTATAAAGTCTCTTCCCTTAAGTGCTAATTGGAACTCTGTGTCACAATCAAGGTAGACGTAGCCACCGCACACAGCGAGAGGTTACCCTGTAATGTGTCCCGTGTGATCAAGTTATCCACCATGAACTTTTCACCGTAGCGGAAGTGATCGCCTTGTATTTCTCAGGTCAAGAAGGTTTTGAAGGCAGCATATTAGCTCAGGCTATCCCAGCCAGTGGGAAGCTGACAGGCTGCCCTGTCGTTATACACCTCCTTCAATCTCAGGTTGAAGCATGTTTTGGGGGCGAGGGAGAGATGTGGAGGAGGAAAGAGAATAAGGGTTGTTTTCATCTTAGTCTCTGGCTTCCTGCCTCTGCCCGAGAGAAACATGAAGGGAATGGGCCTCTTGACAGCGATAGAAACCAAGGAAAATCGGCAGTGCTCCCATGTAGCGCAGAGCAGGTAGGCACTGAGAAGCACTGGGCCTGTCCTGGGCTATGAGGGTTTTATTTTAAAGAACAAAATTCCTGGAGGCCTGAGCGCAGGAAGTCCGTTAAGTGGCAGAGAGATGACTTGGTCCAGAAGATTATAGGCTCCTCTCTGTCACCATGACAGAAGCAGAGATGGTGGCTTCAAGCACTGACAAAAACCAGTATTTTTACAAGCAGCTATCCAAGGTAGCTGGAAATAAGTGTTCGCTTTCCATGTTTGCCTCTCCTTGGACAGCGTCACACAGATCCTTCCCTAAACCGCTCCTAAGCGCTGTCACTGAGCGTTCACCCCCGTCAGACTGTGTTTCCCGAGACAGCCCAGGAGGCGGGAGTCAGAGTGTATATATAAAACGTATTTTCTACTTCTTCTAAGAAATCCATATGTTTGCAACACAGAGAGGATCTCATTCTATTAATGTACTTACCGCCGCAGCTTCCACGGGGCTAATTAGAAACTTTTCATTCCCAGTCTCTGACCACATGCTGAAAGAAAAGCCTGGGCCTTAAGTCCCCAAGCACGAATTTTCCCCCATCTCCCTCATTTTAGCTGAATGCAGCACCATGTCAGAAAGAACTCTTGTTCTTTTGGCTTTGAGACATGAAACTTCACGATGTCAGCTGCTAGAACGGAAGGCACAGAGAACAAAAGTTTCCCGCCTACACCCACCTGCAGAGCCCCGCACAGGAGGGAGTCGAGGGGAACAGTAGGAGGTGAACAGCTTCCAGCTTGCGGTGCCCGGGTCTTCTTCCGAAGGTGGTTTTAAAAGGAAGGAGGCAAGGGAGGGACAGCTGGAGCGTTCCCCGAGAGTTGCGAGGGCTGTCAGTCGGCCTCACTGCAAACACAGGCGTCTCTGACAGCCGCATGAGTGGGCGCTGAGCGGGACCCTGACGCGCAGGCGCAGACGCGCAGATGACGCGCGGACGATGCGCAGACTCAGTGCCCGGGGCGGAGCCGGAGCTGCCCGCCCACGCTGCTACCGGCACCGCCCACAGCAGCCTTGGGCCCGGGAGCGCATAGCCTCGGGGGGAGGGGAGGGTGCCAGGACCCTCGTGCCATCCCTCGGCACACCCACCCCCGAGAGCCTTCCAGCCACGTGGGGTCATCTGACTCAGCTGGCAGTCCTGATAGGTACGCACCCGCTCAGGCCGACCGGCCCGGGGGCGGGGCGGGGGGGGGGGACCCTGCAGGAAAAGGCAGTGTGGCTAGACGAAGAAGAAAACGGGGAGGAAACACGTGATCCTATTTCCACAGCCCCTGTCACGCTGCCAGTGTAGCAATCCGAACCACCCTTCTCTCCGCTTCTTATTCTCACACTTCCGTCTTAGCGGTTTCCCATTCGCCAGGGTACACAGTGAGGAGAAAGAACAGAAAGGAAGGCCCTTAAATTAATCATAGTGAAATTTATAGTGGCCCAGAGGCCAGTGACCCCGAAATCCAGTCCCAGAACTTCTGACGTGAACCGCAACCATAGTTCCTTGTCCTTAGCTCTGTGCCTCAGTTTACCCCTTTGTAAAGGGCATCAGTCCCCACAGCTGCCCCGCTCACCTCCCAGCGCATGTGGTGGATTTCCTGCAAAAGCGTGCCATCCACGCGGCTTAGGAGAGACCTCGGCTTCTGCTCTCCCTCTGCGGGACCGGGTCCACCCGGCACTTTCTCCGTCTGTCTGGCGGAGACGGTAATGAATAGCATTGGTGCCTGCAGCGTCTAGAGCTCCTTGAGCCTCCGTGAGTTACTTCCGCAGATAAGATTTTCAAGCCGCCCCAGCTTTCGCAGGAAAGAGCAGGACGCAGTACTTGACAGGAGAGCTTGGCTAATTTGATCTGCCGTGTGGTTGATGAGCCAGCACTGGACACCAGGAGCAGCCGATTTGAGACAAGTTCCGGGAGCACTCTCATCCGTATTTTATGCAGATGCTGGCTCAGTGTAAAGAGTAGACTACTCCCTGCCTTTTTTTTTTTTCCCTTCTTCTTCTTCTTCTTCTTCTTCTTCTTCTTCTTCACAGAAAAGTAATTTCTGGTGAACTGATGAGAATTCCCTACGGCAAAAAAAGGAAATAGTAATTTATAAGCATTTGTTCTGAAATATAAAGCCAGACAGCAGTAGGTTTTTCAATTAGTGAGAACCAGGGACTCGTGGGTACAGGGGACAGCTCCTGAATCAGTGTATTTGTTAAAAGAACAATTGTCTTTCGTGCTACTATTTTGCTTTTATTAAAGAATTGCAGTTTTCAATCAAATATTAATAAGTGTCTCCCATTAGTGGCTCTGCAGATAAAGGGTGCTCAGCATTTCTAGTCTCCATGCCTGTTGCTGGCTCAGCTGTTTAAGACACAAATAAATAAATAAAAATTAAGTGAAAGGAAAGGTTGGCTGCTCTGAAAAGCACCTTCTAATACCAAACCGAATATAAACTAGTCAGAAAAAAAGTTTTTAACTCAAACCGTTTGATCATGAGGGAGAGGTACAGAAAAGTGGTCCACGTCTCTGGCTTCGCTTTTGCCCAATTCCGCTACAAGAATGAAGACAAAAGAGGCAGTTAGGGGCGCTGGCTCCCGCCACAGGCGTCTCCTGTCATGCCTTCTCTGCCACCCCTGTAGCTTCTCTGCCTCCCTGCAGGGTACGAAGCTGAGGCTTCTCCAGGCTTGTAAGATCAGGGTCCCCCACTGATGCGGAGCAGTGGGCTGCCAGGACCCACAGCTCTGGACTTTGGCTTAGAATCACCATCTTTAAAACAAAAATCATCATCTCCATATTGGCAAGAAAGACCATTTGTAAAGTCCCACCAGATTTGCGCCATGTTCCAGATCGGACCGCACCCCGCCCCCCCAGGAATTGTCATGGCTATCCACGGACAGCACCTAGCATCTACCAAGCACGTTGAAACCAGCACTCAGCAAATAACAGGCGCCTGATTCTCTTTACGCACTATGCCCGCATCTAAACGTGCATTTTCCTCTCTGGGGGCAGAGGAAACCGTTCTTCCATCTTTTCTAATTTGGAAAACCTGGTTTGAGATGCTTTCGAGCGCCTTCATATTAACTCAGATCCTTCTGCAATAGCAGGTCAGCCTCCCAGGCCTGCTGAATGAACCTTCTTCAAGAAAGCAAGCAGCATACCACGAGTCCATGCATGGGAAGTCAAATGGGACGTTTGCTCTCAAAATCAAAGCTGGAGTCTTCTCAGCCAAGGCATTTATCTGTCAGTGTCCCCTCAGCCTGTTGATTTCCTAAAATATACGTGTTCTCCCTTACCCATAATCCCACAGTCAGAATGGACTATTCGGGTACAGTCTACAGGTTGTCTGCACCATGGCAATGATTATCTGTAACTTGGAGACAGTGAAAGAGTTTATCTCATTTTTCTTTCCCCATAAAGTGTAGTCACATCTTCACTGCCATGTAAGGTAACTTTCTGCTTGTTTAAGAATATTCCAGCTGTGTTTATGGTGTTCCAACATTCTCCTGCCAAAACCCTTGACAAATGAAATTGGCAATATTTTCAGGGATGTTGGCAAGCACAGCTTGGATTTAGCCATTAAATCCTCATTTGTTTCCGTTATATCTGATCAGAATATTAGGACAGGGCTTTTGACTTTTAAAACATGTACACAGAGCAGACTCGGTTTTGATCAAGACGTCTTAGGCATGCCCACTTAGTATCTAAGCATATGTGGAATCTCGTATCAAATACCCCTGGGTTATTATGTGTAGTTTGTCATCTCATTCTGAGTGCAGTCTCTGAACCTCCTCTCAGGGGTGAGATTTTTTGCAAACTAGTCAGTTCTGCTCTACACTCAGCCTCAGGTGGATAAACGAGCTGTCTCTCCACCCCAGTTCTAAATAAACTAACCCAGCACTGGGGATGGTGCATTCGAGTATTAGTTTGGATGCTCTCATGTTCTACTGATAGCATATGTTTAATAAACTCTGCCACTGCTAAAAAGATACAACGAGGAGAACTGGCTGCATTAAGAACTCTCTTTGGCCAAACAGGAATTTATAAACAAGTCTTCCATAGGCCGAAAGCTTCTTCATGCCGCACAAGTTATTTTAAATTACACTTCCCTCAGTTGAAATAGAGCAGACTGCTGCTTCTCTTTCAAAGAAGAGGCAGAAAAGCAAGAGGCCCTGGCATTGTACGTGCTTTTAAAAGTGCCTGCCTGCCTCCGTTCTTCCTTCCTTCTCTCCCTCGCTCTCGCTTCCTTTATTTCTGGTGCAGACCAAGAATTCATCTAGTTCTCTCAAAATTCTCCTGCAGCTGAGAGAAAAGGTAGAACACCTGAGTGAAGAGAGCTTTTCAGCTGAGATGACAAGTGTAACAGATGTGTTCCAGCATCTTCTCTGTGACAGGACCACGTGCTTTCCTTAGATCCTGTCTGTAGGAGGAAATTACTTGGAGAAACCTTTCCCCAGTCAATCATTTATCTGTTTTAGCAGCAAGAAGGCAACCGCACCGAACTGGGAGGAGTTCGGTTCCGTTCATTTCTGTGAGCAATCTCTGACACCTCTGGAGGTAGAGACGATAAATAATTGTAAGGTAAATTACAGGTTGGCCGCAGTTAAGGCCGGAATTTTTCTTCACTTTTTTCAGCTATTATGTATTTGGAGAGGCTTTAAGACAATAATATACAGGCTGTCTTACCTAACAACAACAGCAAAGCTTCATTATCTTGGTGCATGTGATCTTTTCCCCCATTCTGGTTTCTCCTGCATTTTAGTCAGTAGCCAGAGAACTGACTCCTGAGACAGTACACCCACTAATGTAGAACAGAGGAGGGCTGACCCTGAGACATTCTCGAACAGCAGAGGGCTGACTCTACAAGGTCAGAGCAGTTATCCTTTCAAGACTCAAAGGACTCCACTGCACCCAGAAGCTCATTTTTAGTAGAAGGGACCAGTTGACCTAAGTTATTTTTGTCCAATGGGAAGTCAGTTCCTTGGCTTGTAGAAGCAGCTGACAGCCAGTCTTGATGGAAGAAGCTCATATGACCCTATATTAGTGAAAAGCCACAGATTTTGAGGCCTAGTCCTAAAGCTACCACCATGTTTTCAATGCCATGGAAAAGAAAATTAAAATCTAGCCATAGGACTACTAGAGCAGAAATTACAAAGGTTAACAAGCTACCGAGCCATGAAACATTGGGTTCTGAAATTGCAGAACTTCATCCAAAATGGCAGAGAGAGGGGAATTTTCAACATACGCTCTCACTTTACAAATGACAGTAATTTTCCCTCTTAAGTAGTTGAACACAGCACACAGTCCCGAACTTGACAGAGCCCCTGAGGAGACAGGTTCTCTCTTACTGCACCGCTGCCAATAGAGTAAAAAGGTTAAAGGAGTCATCAGATTTGTCAGATCATTTTTTTGGATGCAGTAAGAGTTATATAATTAGAAGTATCAGTCGAGCTTTTAATTGCAGGTTTCGGAGAGGAAAGAGCAATGGTTCAAGTTTATAGAGATGGAATTTTATTGTTCTATTGCTAATACTTCTGAGACCTCCTAATTGCTATATCTTTCTAAGTTACTTAAAAAGTTCTGCTTGTTCTGAAATTGTGGTAAATGCATAAACTGTGCCTTATTGATTTCTGTTCACATTTTTACATTTTTTTTTTTTAATGCATTCTTAACCTCCATTTGGAAACTGTCAGTTTGGCACATGTTCCTGGATAATAAGAGCAAATAAAGTGAATGAAACAATCTTCTTGACTATTAAAAGCAGAGTTAGGCCAGGTTTCACGTGATGTCAAATATATCTCCATTAGATTATTTGCAAAAGCAAATAATTCCACTGTGGTCTCAAGATATGGAAGAAGAAGAATCTTAGCATTATCTCCTCTGTTAATAATGTCGATGATAATCACAATGTTTTTGAAGGGGTATTATTTTAAGATGGATGGTAACTTTGGGGCTCTTGAATTATAGAGCTGAGTCCGCGATATGGAAGCCCATAGACGTACTGTCATCTGTCTCACACTGTTACACACATCTTCTAGATGCCTCAGAGAAGGCTCCAGATCGCTTTCACTGATGACAGAAGCTACAGCCAGTGGAGGTGCAGACAGTGTGTTTAACTAGTAAGCTTCACTAGCTGCTATAATGTCAGAGAAGTATATGAAACAGCTCGGCATTCATAGCAAGCTAGACCTCAGGCTTCGTAAGGCCAGCTGAACTGGGAGGTCAATGAGAGATGACTCTCCCATGTACTTAGAGAGTTTTGTTGTATTAAAAATTACAGCATGATGCAAAAAAAAAAAAAAATGCATTGACTTATTTTCATGACTGGATGTTTTTGTGCTTTGGGAATAATGGGCAGGTGTTGCTTTCTCTTATTGCTGTTTGATTAAAAGGTGCTAATACAGTATTGACTTGATAATCTCACCAGGTACACATGCAGAGCAAAAGAAGAAAATATATTTTATGGCTCACAAAATTGATTTACATAAACCAAACAATCTGCTGGTTTTTGGTTTTGTTGTGTTTTTGTTTTGTTTTGTTTTTTGGTTTCTGGTTTTTTTTGGATGTAGAACATTCTGTTTGGCTTACTGGCCACAGGGGCAATAATCATGCCAGAATCCCACTTTCACGCATTCACTTGGAGATGACAACAGGCTTCCGCCTCTCAGTGTTTAGATCTGCTTCATTTGGAAATCTTTTAAGTAGTAATAATAATAATGTTTTGAAGAAATTGAGTGGAACACTAAATTATTCTCTGATACCTAAGTTCAAACTGTGCAGAGCTGAAGAAGCTGAAAATCAATGCACTTTTATAGTCATTAGAGATCATAAGTGAAATAAGTCTGCGTTGCTTTAGCTAAGCTTTTAGTGTGCTGTGGTATTATTATAAAATCAGCCTGAATCTGCATTAATTTCACAGTCTTTTTCTCTAAGAAGCCCAAGGGTGCACGATGAATAAAATGTAAATTTCAGAAGGCAGTGTTTTTATTAGCGAAAAGGGCAACGAGCCATGTCGTTGGAGCGGTGACCTGCACAGTGGCCGGCACCTGCCACCAGGAGCTGGAGCAGGCAGTGTGGATTCTGGTTAGTTTATAGCACGAGAAATAAAGAGCCATGGAAGGTTCAATGGGTCTCACAGGAAACATTCAGAGAACTGTACATTGTCTTGTGGATGTTAGACTTTAGGTCAGATCTCTGATGCATACCCGAAACCACAACTTGGAAAAGTCATAAAGATTTTCTACCACGAAGAAATCCAACGCAGATTTTAAAGTTTCACCTTGTGTGCACTATTGACTATTCTCAGAGTAACAGAGCATTTGTTTTTGTTCGTAATTAATAATTACCAAACAATTCCTGCAGGATGGGGTATATTTCTCTGCATTGGAATCGCATCAATGTATACGTATACATGTATATGTTTTAACTATCCAGAAGAGATGAGATGTATTTATTTGCTGACATTTTGAGCCTTTGGCATTTATTTGCTAATTTGCCCTTGGTGTGAGGATTTTATTATTTGCTGCTTAAAAATCAACGCTAGAATTTGAAATCCAAAAGCCCGAATGTGTGGATGCCCTAAGTAAAGATGATCAGCCAAGGAGAAAAATGTAAAATAGCTACTTTTTATTTTAGAAAATGCAAACTAGATCTTGCTAATTTCAAACCCCCCGTGGCTTTAAAAAAAAAAGAAAAAAGAAAAAAAAAGTGCCCAACACTTTCCCCTCGTCTCCATTTTAAAAAATAAACTAGTCAATAAATAAATCTTTCTGCTTTGGTCAGATTAGCAAGTCAGCACTGTGAATAAAAAGCAAAGTAAGATAAAACCAAGAGAAGTTGTTGATTTTTATGTACTACTGAGAACAGTGGCGTCCTGTGGCAGTTCTCGTAGACTGTGTTGGTTTAACAAGCGTCCAACCCTTTTGTCTTGTTGTTTTTTGTCTTTCCTGCTCCCTGTCCCCTTGTTTCCCACAGGCTGTGCGTTTGTCACATTTTCTACAAGGGCAATGGCACAGAATGCAATCAAAGCCATGCATCAGTCTCAGACCATGGAGGTACTGTATCATCTGCCCTTTCTTTGTTTTCTTTGTGCAAATGATGGGGAATGGGAAAGCAGATCTCTCCTGTGCGGATTGTTCACATGACAATCACAGATGGACACTTTCACCATCTCTTCCATTCATTCATATTCATCCTCTCTCTCACTCTCTCTCTTTCTCTGAATTTTTCCCCTAATGACTTGAAATGCATTTAGTAAAACCTTCCACGCGCTGTACATGATTTTTTTGAGCCTTTTATTGCATTGGCCTCAGGCCCTGCAACGTAACGTCATGATGCAATTTAAGCCAAGACTCCTTCTCGACCTCTAAAGGATCCAGTCCATTCCTGGTCCAGGGTTGGTATGGAGTCCACCTTGACAGCCTTCCTTCCAAATTGCAGCCTGCCCTGTGCCAATCACAGGGTTCTTTTTCCCCCCCTTTTTCTTTTTTTCTGTTTTTTTTTTTTTTCTTTTTTTTAATGTGGGGTCAAGTTCTCTTTAGTCAAACAGAATTGTGTTTTTGCATCAAGAATGTTGGGAGACAATACTTCTCCCACACTGTTTAACCAGTGAACATGTTAATGTATGAGACTCCCTTGAAAAATTAGATTTGTCTTTTTACCCAAAAAACGCACGATAAAAGAAACATAAAGGCTCAAATTTGGTCTCCTAATGAGAGATATTGGCTTTGGGGGAAGATCGATACGTTGATGTGGGTGTTTCGCCCACACACGTAGATAGATGGCTCTGTACTTCTAGTCTGTGATTTGGGTCTGGCCTTTCAGAATTTTGCACAAAAGCATTCCAAGAGTGATATGCTGTTACTCTGTATTGTCTGGTAGAATCATCTGGGAGTGCATGTTCTGTACTCTTGTATATCTGTGTATGGGCGAGCTTTTCTGGAGGTGGCCCTGTGGTGTTACCTGAAGTTACGTTTTCATCTTCTGAAAAGCAAAATATTCTCAGTTTTATTTAATGTGCAAAAATTTCTTTATGGATCGTTTGCGCTTTTTTTTACCTCCGTTTTTTGGGGGGTTTTATTATTTTATTTGTTTGTTTTGTTTGTTTTTTGCAATGCTGCATCTCCCAAAGCATGCTGGGAGCTAAGTGATCATTCTGCGTCATGTTTTGTGGGCAACTTTTTTTACAGTGAGGCGGAAGGTGGGTGGACAAGGGGGGAAAGGAGTGTGCATGGCCTTGTCATTAAGTGTTTACTGTATTTTTCTGAGTTTTGATATCAGCATTGCAAAGCCTATTGTCTTTTTCGAGCTTCATTTTGACTTTGATATTCCTAACATATCTTATATAATCACTGTGTTTTCCTTTCAGTGCAATGCATTTTTAAGACACTCACACCCCCCTACCTGAAGGCAAGCTCAGGTGAAAATCGGCCACGATAGGAGATAATTAGCAGGATTTGAAATACCTAGGGATGCAGTCTTGTACGACATGCAGTCACATCTTGATGCTGTGTTTGTCCCCACTTTCTCTCCGGCTGCTCCGTTGTTGGGGATCAGTCTAAATCCCAGCTACCTTTCAGTTTGGAGATAAAAATGAAAGTACGGTTAGGGAAGAAAAAAAAAGTTTTCACCTGTATTTATTATCTTCCATACATGTGCTTCATTCTTAATCATTTTTATTTCCTGTAATTTAGTGATTTGTACCTTAGATGATTTTTTAACCTAAATTCTTTCAGCTCTAACCCCAGTTCCTCCATCAGTGCCCCCCTGAGTAAAGCTGCAGAGGATGCTGGTCTGTGTTCTCCTGTGTTCCTACAGGGAGAGAGCTCGGGAACGTAGTGCAGACCTGGGTATGAGCCAGAACCAAAGAAGAATAGGCTCAGAATGAAAAGAATCTGCTATAGAGATTGGGGCATATTCATTCTTAAGAAATCCTGACCCTTTGGTATTAACATCTCTATTATTAAAAAAATCAAATTTGGTGCACTTGTTTTTAAATCTGGACACCCATGCTCAGACAGAGGGGCCCTCAGACACTGAAATTTCTTGTTGAATTTAAAAAATACTGACATTTAAATGGAAGACTGTATAGTATGCCAATCACATTCTAGTTGTACAACCGAAGTTTGTTGGATTTTTTTTTTTAACTAATTTTGTTATTTTCAGGACTCTGGCTCACATCTTTAACCAAGATGTATTATCTAAGAAATTTGAATTCAAAATGATTTGAATGTTAAAGTTTAAAAGAACATGTTCTTTAAAATAATTTTTATATCGTACCTTCTATTTTTCAACTTTCCTCCAATCTACGCCCATCCTGTTTTTCCTTTTTATGGTTTAAACAAGCTATTTTGGGCCTAATTTTTTGCTTCTTTATCTTTTTTTTTTTTTTTTTTTTTGGTATTTAAGGAAGAAAAAAAATACTAAATGTACTCTTAGGAGGAGATGCTATGATTTGTTATGGAACAAATTTGATACAACAGCAACGACCCTTTCCATACAAAACCCTCCCTCTCTATAATTTCCATCTTCAGAGTATTTTGCTCTCTTTAAAGCAACGAAGAGAAGAAAAATGAAGTATAGATTTTTTAAGTGGTGGAAATGTTATTTTCATGCGGTTGACTGACATTTAACATTCTGTCCCGTGGCCGTGGCTATGAGCTGAAGACCAGTACGCTGGAAGTTCAAACTGAAACAGCCACCTCGATTTTCTCATATTTTTTTTTTTTTTATTTTGGGTAATAACAGACACGGTAGCCTCACATATTCACAGCTCCATCCCCAGTAACTACCCAAGGTGATAAAACACAAAACACACGCAGGTTTGTTTTCTAGGAGAAAGAAAAATGACCCGAAAGTAAGGGAAAGAGAGAGAGAGAGCGAGCTCATTTAAGTAGGAATATAAAATTTCTGAGAGGAGAGAGAGAGAGGTCTATTATCATGCTGAGTTTCAGTGAAAGGTTTTTTGTTTTTTTTTTTTAATCACCTAGGTAGAATGACTTCTTTTTACCTCAGCAAAATTTAACGGCTTTAATGGTGATGAGGTGTGTAGGCAAGCCGTAGGAAGAAAGAGAAGGGTAGGGAGGGAGGAGCCTATGTCTCTCCTGAGTGTTGACTGAGTGGAGAATGTTCCAGAGGGGCTCAGGGAGGGAAGTCTTCATGCTGGAGGTGCAGGCCCTTATTTTCCCTAATGATTTTATCCATCTCAGACATGAATTCGTCCTATTTTATAACCTTTGGCCATGCACTCACTCACTGCCCTTACTCACTGCCTTTTAAAGGGAATGAAAACTGAGAAGAAGCACCTAGAATGGTGAGATCCGTTGACAAGAGAAGCCAAGTAGACGCCTCCTGCCATTTCAGAGACAGCTCCTTTCACTAGAATATGCTTCCGAGCCTGGTGGCTTGCAGGGGCCCTGAGCAGGGTGGACAGAGTAGGTCCATCAGAGAAGGAAGAGAGACCTCTCTGAAAACACGGACAGTTACCCTGGGCCGTGCCTGTGTTCTCGGAACCTGTCCTGCCCTCATCCGCGTTCCTAAAACAAAACCCTCATCTCCCTATCTGCAGTGCTGGGTCGGGAGGACTCCCGCGTTCCAAAGTTCAAAAATGCAGCACTGACAATTGGGAAGAGTGAAAAAATAAATACGTGAACGAGGGACGTTTTCCTTCCCATCGAAGCGTCTCTCCTCCTCTGTCCCCTGCTCACGTGCGGAAACAGGCAGACACACAGACAAAGTCTATCTTGCAGACAAGCGCACCAGGAAGCCCAATTAAAGAACGTTGATAAGGTCTCTTGTCTCTGAGGAGGTCCTGGAAAGGTTGGAGGAAGACACGCGAAGAGAGGAGGAGAGGCAGTTTAATAACCAGAACAAGAAAGCAAATGGCTTCACCGACCACCAGATCCCCAGAGAAACCAGTGACAGTGTCTGGAAGTTTCTCTTGATGGTACTGGTCAGAGAAGAAGAAGGAGTATCAGACCGTTAAAAAAAAAAAAAAAAAAAAAAACCGTACAGACGGTTCCGTGTGCTCCGAGATAGTTGAGATGAGAGAGCTAGCCCCAGGGCTGAGTGTCATGAGAGGATTCAGCCAGGCGGTAACCCCCTCTTCACTTTCCGCTGTGTCTGACCACAGGGCTGCTCCTCACCCATCGTAGTGAAGTTCGCGGATACTCAGAAGGACAAGGAGCAACGTCGCCTCCAGCAGCAGCTGGCACAGCAGATGCAGCAGCTCAACACTGCCACCTGGGGGAACCTGACGGGCCTGGGCGGACTCACCCCGCAGTACCTGGCGGTAAGTACGGGACCCGCCAGCGCCTGGGCCCTGAGAGGGCGGAGGGGGGCCGTCCCCGCTGTGCCTCCCGAAACCGCCTCGCCCCCCCGCCCCGGCCAAGTTCTCGAAAGAATTCCATGTGGGGGCATTTTGAATCTCAGGGAATTATTGAAATCTGCGTTGATGCAGAAAATTTTTCCAAGGTAACCTGAGTAGCGTGAGGACATGACTCATTTCATTGTGGCCTGATGAAGGCTGAGCCGAGTCCCACGAGGCTAAATTGCTAACCGGTGTGTTTCAGAGACCTCATAACATCTTGCATGAGAAGGGACGCAGCACGCTTGACGGTGGTTCAACAACCCCGAGGCAGGTGTGGCCCCAGAGGTTAGCGCGTCCCACGGAGGATTCCCCGCGAAGCCCCATGGGCCCCTCCACTCGGTGGTCCGGGCCCTTCCCTGCAGAACCGTGCTGACGAAATCAGACGTTTCTCCCATCTATTCGGAACCCAAAAATGAGATCCTATTGCAGGGCAAATAAACCCAGTTCTTTCAACCATTCCTTTACATTACATTGTTTTAAACTTCCATGTTCCTGTTATTCCTTGTGCTACCCTACCCCATCTCCGTCGATGTCTCTAGTAAAATCCAGTGACCAGAATGTAAGTCAGTTCCCCTGGTAAAATCTAAACAGTGCACAGGGCAGTGACCCCTAGTGCGGACTTTAAAATATCTTTGCGTGGCCTGAGAGGGGTCCTCGTGCTAACCATGTCACGCGTGAGGCGGAAGGCAGCTAACACGGGTCCAGCTTTTTATTTATTTTTACATGAACCACTGCTAAACCGTGGTGGTCTACCCCGTATTTCTGCTTTGGCACCTACAGGCTGGACTTCACATTGATTACTATAGTTTCATATCGCAAGTTTGGGCCTGGTGTCCTAGCCTCTCGGGGTGTGCCCGTGTGTACGTGCATGCATGCGTGTGTGTTCTCTCCTAATTCCGTCACCTGACATTTTAACTGTCCGTCCGGGACTGCAGGATCCGTTAGGCTTACTCTGTAGCAGAGCCTGCGCGGTTTGTCCTCCCTCTGACCTTGAATAGTAAGGAGAGCCTGCCCGTATAGGGGAGGAAAGAGGCTCCGAGAGGTTACGCAACTGCACCAAGACCGAGCCACTAGCTGTCTGTCGAGTGGGATTTCAGCCCTCTGCTCTGGCTCATTTTCCTCCCTTTACCCACTCAGGCCCGTGCCCAGTGGGGTTTGGCTGTACTACCTACTCGGTACACATTTGCTTCATGAAGGAGGCACCCGCTTCTCCCATCTTCAGCTGAGCCTTTAATAAAGACATTGACTGACTCTACTGTCACCTTATAGCCATTTCTCAGTCATATCCACAAAGACATCATGAGCGATTTCATCAGAGGTCCTGCTAAAAATCTGTATTTGCTTTGCCATAGCGTTTTCTTGGTCTCTCAGTCTAAGATTTTGTGAAACAAGAAATGAGTCTAGCTTAACAGTCAGTTGGTTTTTCCCAAACTTGTGCTTTTCAGTTTTTCACAAGCCATCTGTTTATGGATATCAGAATTGGGATCAGAGATTGATGTCAGGCTCACCTTTTCATAATTTCTAAGAATCCAGCTTCCTGCTCCATCGTTTCTAAAAACCGAGACACCTGCGCCTGTCCCCAGTTTTCTGGCACCTCTCCCCTGGCTCCCAGAGGACGAAAATCTCTGGCACATGTTTCTTTGACTGCATCTGCAAATTATTTCTGTGCCCTGGAAAAGAATTCAGAGTTCATCTCAACCTCATTTGTAAAAACATACTTTTCTATGATCTTAATTGTGTTTGCTCCTACCGTGGGCTCCCATTCTTTCTCAGCCATATTTGTTCTGCCCCTTTCAGTTGGAAGTCCATTTCTTTGGAAGAGCCTTTAAGGCATTCCCTACTTGTGGGTTGAGGGGTAGATTCTGACTCCAGCCCACCAGAGAATGGTTATCAGTGGATAGAGTCCTGGGTAATAGTTTAAGGACACTGCACGTATTTCCACATACCTCGTTAGGTAGTATTAATTCCTCGAAAGAGCTGCAAAGCTAATTTAATTTTACCTCGCTTTAATTTTTAAGCATACATAGTAGGAGAGGGAGTAAGGGCTTGTAACCACAAGAGAATGGGAAACCCACGACATCAAACCAAAGGAAGGGATTTCTCTCTATCAGAATGGTTAATCCCTAGCTTCTCCCTTTTCCTCACTGTTCCTCGTGTGCGTGTCTGTGTGTGTGTGTAATACCTCGGCAGTGCATTTCAGCGAGTCAGGAGGGATGAGTAAACATCACATTCTTCTGGTACCAGTCACTGTTAATCCCCATAATGTCATTGTAACTGAGACTCAGGTTGAATCAGCCACTGAGATTCCATTACACTTCATGCTTTTAAGTCAGTGGATAGATGCCCATTTCTGAGTCCTGTCCAAGTTGTAGACTTTGCTTGGTATTGAACTGAAAAAAACCTACCCTTGCCCAGAGGAATGACTCCCCATGTGGTTCTGCAGTGCTCCAACTAAATTCTGAAAGCTATTTTAAAAAATCACAAATGGGTCTTGTTTCTCCTAAGCACATAGTCTCATAACATTTCTCAATAATAACTTTGGTGAATCTGTGCCTTTTTGGTACCTGCGTACATTTGTGCATAGGAGATAACTATGTGCTCCTACATCCAAACAAAGCCTGCATTGATCTACCTTATCAAAAAGAGGGTATCAGTAAACCTGGGTTAACAGTATAGCACCTAAGTTAACCTATCATTCAGCTGAATTCAGCACTTTACAACAGTAACCACTTGCCTTTACCTTGTGGTACCCACTGATTTGGGGGGTAAGATGTGTTTTTGAAAGCGCCAGGGAAAAACGCAGAGACAAGGGCGTTAACCTTTTTTTTTTTTAAAAGATGCTGACATACCTGTAACGCAGTGTCATTGTACATCACACCAGATACTTCTAAATCCTGACAAATTGTATGTTCCCCTCTGCCAGTGAAGACCAGCTTCCAATGGGTGACCGTTGTCTTGGTCTGTGGTCACAGGCATACCTGTGTGGCTGTGCATAGGTATGTGTGTGTCTGTAGTTACCGTAGTGATGTCTCCGTTGGCCCAAGAGTCCGTGAATCCAGGTGCTTCCCGTGGAGGATGAAGGCCGCTGAGCCATTGGACCGAGGGGTGGGCCTTAATTGACAGAGCTGAGCTGTGGTAACCTCTAGGCTACAGAGGGCCCGTGTGAGTCATACCGCGTTGGTTTCAGTAGATGTAACGCCTGGTTGTTAAAAAGACTAAATTGATTGTTTTAAGGCAGCAGTGTTACTGAGTTTCCCCGGTGTCTGTGTTTCTTAATAGAGATTAGACATTAATATGGATTTACAGCCCCAACTGTGGGAATCTTCAGCCCATGAATAGGAAGCAGCAAGCGACTGTATAAATGTACAGGAAGCTGGACGCCCCCCCCCCCGCCACACCCCTGGTTCGGAAGCTGCCTGGTCCTGTCTCCACTTTGGTCTGACAGTCCGCTTTTCCCTCCCTTTGCAGCTTCTGCAGCAAGCCACCTCCTCCAGCAACCTGGGTGCATTCAGTGGCATTCAGCAGATGGCTGGTAAGTCATGACACATGCCTTTGCTTTGGACCGTGCTGTTGTCTGAATTTGGGTGGCTTCAGAGGGCCAAGAAAACAAGCAGGAAGAACGAAGAACAGAGAGCAACGAGCAGCCGTGTTCGCCTTCGGACTCGGGTGTTACAGTTAGAGTCCGCTGCTGGGGGGCTGCTTTCCCACCTCGGGCTTCTCGAACTGTGGGAGCTGGAGGGGCTGCGAAGCCCTCCGTCGTATCCTCCAGAGTTGTCTGCTGGTTTTGTTTTTTAATGGGATTGATTGCTGGGGAATTTCCAGTAAGATTCCTTCTATCCAGGGCAGCCAAAATGATTGACGTCCTTCTAAAATTTTAATAAGAAGCAGTCAATAAATATTCTGACCTCCATAATGAAAGCCAAGATGGCAGGCCTATCTTTGATACAGTTTGCGGTCCCCTGATAACCATAGACAATTAACAGGGTGCTTTTTTTTTTTTTTTTTTTACTTTGGTACCCCGGTTGGCAGAAGTATACATCAGAAGCTTTTATGTGCAAGTATGATCTTTGTTCTCGAGAAAATCAAAGTAGGGCTGGATTTGAAAGCTGGCTCATAAAGGATTTCTTTGTATAATGAGCTATGCCAGTAGTCACTGAGGTGCAGAGATTAGTGAAAGGTCACTCCTATGGTGTCCCCTTCCAGGCTCCGACCCTAACTTCCACGGGGCCAGGGAAGGCGGCCCGCACAATCCATCAGAACACAGGTGCTGTTCACCTGCCGTGAGGAACAGCAAGGACACTTTTCCCTCGTTTGATTCCAGAAAGTTGGAGGGGAGAGGGCAAGGAGAAGAACAGATTTTTGGCACATTAGAATCAAGCACCATTTGTTTTTAATGAAGGACACCCTGACTCAGTGAAATGAAACCTGACGGTACAGAATAGAAGCCAGATTTTTTTTTTCCTGTCACTATGAAAACTCCTTTTTTCTCATTTTTTTTTCCTCAAAAACTATCCTTGGTTTTGTTTGTTTGTTTCACTTTGAATGGATCTGGAAGGACTTTGTCCTCACATGTGTTCTGTGATCCTCAGCCCAGCCTTCCCCTACAGCCCTACAGGCTAAGGGGAACCTGTCGTCTGACAATATACTGGCCTACAGTTAAAAAAAAAAAAAAAAAAAAAGCAGAATTATTCACTGGGCTTTAAATCTCCTGACACTGCCAGTGTGTTTTATTGTGATACTGCTTTTGGTTTACTAGGGAAAAAATAGATGTTAAAATGGTAAGTAGTTCAATCTTTCAGCAGTATCTTTATGAATACATTTTGGGAAGCTGGCCTTGGAGCTAAGGATCACCCCGAATGGTTAATTTTTAGTTCTGCGAAAGGAACTGGAGAGACAACAGTAAAATATCCGGGGAGTTCTCTGTGTTTTAAAGAGAAAACCTCCACATGGCTAGCTCTACAATAAATGTGAAGATTTGTCATGTTTTCAGCCAGTACAAGATTTATTTTTCCTTCTAATGGTATGGACCCACCCAGATCCAAAATTAGGGTCTTTCCTTAGAGGAAGCCTCCGGCTATCCCACTCCGACAGTTGAATTATGCAGAGAAGGTCACTGGGTCCTGAGGCAACTGCCAAGCGCATCTTCCTGGGTGGACAGAGCGCCCTGTCATTTTTCATTAGACCGTGGTCTCCTCTGCGTTGCCAGCCACAGGTCAGGATGTTAGCATTTACATGCTCTGCGTGCTCATTTAGAAACTAAGGCTATCCGGGAGTCACCTTAGAAGGTGCATCGAGCAGATGGCGAATTTAAAGGCATTCCGTAAATGCTCTGGGCCATCCACAACACCCCGTTCTTGAACCTTCAACATCTAAAATTCAGCACACTAAGTCTGCACAGGCTGTGAAATCAAATGCTGAGCAGTCCATTATCTACCCTCACCTTGAACGTTTAGATCAAGGACGTCGATGTCAGGGCTCCATCTGCTTGGCGATTGCCAGAAAGGTGGTTTCTTCATTCATAGGGAAAATCAAGTTTCATCTTCCTATTTGAAACACTGGTTTGGAAAATATATATATGTATATATATATATTTGCCAGTAAAATCAAGTTATATGGCCTCCTGCTCTTTCATCCTCTCCCAAAGTTGGACTTAACTTTTGTCTTTGCCAGTCATCCAGACCAGTATTATAAAGTGAACTGGTAATAGAAGTACCTCTCTGAAGGAGGCTTCCCTGGGGCATCCGGGTGGCTCAGTCAGTTGAGCATCTGACTCTTGATTTCATCTCAGGTCATCATCTCAGGGTCATGAGATCGAGCCCCACGTTGGGCTCCGTGCTCAGTGCAGGATCTGCTTGAGATTCTTTCTAGCCCTCTGCCCCTCCCCCACTACCCCCCCCCCCGCTCGCTCTCACGATCTCTCCCTCTCTCTCTCTCTCTCTCAAAATAAATGAATCTTTAAAAAATAAAGGCGGCTTCCCTGACACCCCACATAATATGGGAGGGGTGCCCTAAAGCCCTTCCTTCCTTACTTTCCTCAAACACTCCCAAGCCAAGAGGAACTCAGCCTGGCCCTGCTGAGAGGTGCTACTGACTATTTTGGAGTGGATGGGTGAATACATTTATAAATCGACAAATGCAAATTGATATTTTGGATATATTCCCAGGGAAGCTTAAGTTCAATGCCCTGTTTTTTTCAATTGAGAAATTTGACTTTCGCCTTACCTTCTAAGCCAAGAAAACATTATATAAACTAATGACAGTATCTTCACGGTTGAGTTGTCGAGGATTTGGCAATAGTTGGTACACTCAAACATGTGACCAAGCGCATGGTCCATAACATCCGGTAGACACGATAGGACGAAATCCAAGAGGCCACTTATCCCAAATCCCACCTGAGGTTAAAATGCTTGTTGAGGGGCTGAGATTGTGGCACAGTTCAGATGGGCACCTACGTGATTCAAATGCAGTTTTTACGTCTTACGTAAAGTTCAAGCAGTCCGGCTTGGAACACTGTCACCAAAGAGAGAGAAACATCATTTCAGAAACCAGCAATAATTTTTTGTGAACAGCTCTCAAAATACAACAGTCTGTCCTTCAGGAGATTGAAGTTTATCACTGAAGTCTAACATGTCTCATTCGAATGAGTAAAACACTTTCTGTTTGAGCAGAAAATAAAGCCAAAAAAAGAAAGAAAAGTTTTTGATGACAAGTCATGAAGTATTTGTCTCAATAAAATGGAATGAGGCATCAACTATACTTGTTTCCCCAAAATAATTTACCATTTTCCTTCCAAACTAAACATAACTTCACATGTGCTTCATGATTTTATAGAAGGGAACCTTTACTGAATATAGAACTTAAGAGCAGAAACTAGATCAGGCGCAAATCTTTAGAAGCTGAATGCTTTCACGTATACTTTCTACTTAAAGTTGATTGATTTTATTTTCCCTCTTAAAACCTCTAAGAAAAACTTGTCCATTTCTCACTCAACTGTGATATTTGTCCCATGAATTTCTGAAATCTCAGAAACTTTGGGCTAAGAGTCTGGATTTTTTTTTTTTTCCCCTAAAGAGGAAGGAATTAGGGAAAAGTGACTTTTCGGTCATGAGTTTCTCTTCTAACGGCATTCCTCTAGCACGGCGCTAGATAGGTAAGCAGGGGTCCTAGTTCACAATTTGGTTTTTAACGGCGCTCCTTGAAATCATCACGCAGTTTATCCTCACAGCGCGCCAAGGACAAAACCTGCACTTCGTTACTCCACTGCCGTTGAAAAAAACTGAAGTAGAAAAGTGTTAAATAATAACGCTGTGAGACCACAGCAGCGGGCAAGGGCACAGGATGGACCAAGATACAAAGATCCCAGGGAGCGCAAGCGTCCCGCTGCACAGGCGGGGCAACCGAGGATTAGAAAGTCATTCACAAACGTGCCCCAAGTCACTGGGCCAGGAAGGGGCAGGTCCAAATTTCAGGCACATCCGAACCCTGAGCTCCAGAGTGTGCCAAAGCTAATAAACCGGTGCTCCGTGTCTCAGCAAGTGCAGATATGTTCGCCCAAACACAGACTGCAGTGACCTTCCTCTGCAAACGGTTTCACGGGCCAAATAACAAATCCGAGCCATAGATCAGGAACGCAGAGAGTGCTCCAAAACGGTGCACAGAGAAGCAACACAGGAAAGCTGCCTCCCTTCATTCTGTAAGGCCTTGCACATGTGTTAAGAGTCGGCTGGGTTTTGTTAGGGAGGTTTTGGTTTGGTTCCCCACCGCCGCCCCCAGCACGCGGAGGTGTCATTAAAGAAGTTAAAGATTTACAGAGCAACAAAGAAGAAGAGTTTATCTGTCGATTTACGGAGCTACGTGTTGATAGACACAGAACTGCTGCACTCCGCCGAGTCAGCGAAGCTGGTAGTAATTCTCTTCCAGAAAATCTGGCCTAGGTTTTAAAAGTAACAGTGAGAGCGTACAGCGCAGTTCTTTGCTCAAAACAGCAAAGCCGCTCTCCCTTCCTCGGTGCGGGATCCTGTCTCTCCAGGAGGCCGTCCCAGCACCTCTGGGACAGGAAGACAAGACGGGGAGACCTTTGCAGAAGCCAGTGCGCGGGAGGGCTGAGGGTCTCCGCGCCTGGAGGCACCTGAGTCGCGAGGTGGGGGCTCTGGATTCGCGAAGAAGATCACCGGGACTTCCTGGAGCGGAGCCTCCCACCCTCGCACTGCGAATGTGCTAATAGGCCTTATGAGAACATTCCATAACCACCCATCTGTCACTTTTTAACAGACCTGATTGGCAAGCACTTGTAACAACTGACATCTGTTCTCGCTTATTGATATGCAGATTTATGGTAATTGCTATGAACAATAAGACACAAAATTACCTAAGGTGAACATTAAATTAAATTTTCATGCCCTTCTCCTTATAAATAATTTTTTTAAATCTTAAATTTCAAGTAGGCATATTGCACATCTGTTTTGTACATCATTTCTTCGTCTGGAGAAGGATTTTTCGTTTCCCAAGTAATGAATGAAAAGTTGAATGCCCATATTTCCCAATTTTTATTTTTTTTTTTTTTTTACCATCTTGGTCTTGGCACGCTGTAGGATTTCATAAAATGTATTTAAATGTTTTGTATTTCTAGTCACCCAGATTGTTGCCCCCGGTTTGTGTGGCGCCCCTCGGAGCAGAGTGCTTGGTGAGGTTAAAAGCGGTTGCTTTTCTTGGGAGACAGCCTTTCCTCAGGCTGGGGCCCAGCTCCCTGGCCAGGCCACTCCGTCTGGCGCCCCCTCCAGATCGCCGTGCGGGGGTGACGGAGAGGGTGACCGGTGGGCAGATGACCCGGAGGGTCCATGAAGGGAGCTGAGCAAGGAAGGAACAGGGTGGTTCACACACCCCAAAGACACAAGAAAACGACAGGAAAGAACCGAAATGGGGATGCAGAGAGCCCCACCAGTGTTGGCCGGGCCCAGAGGAGGCCAGTGTGCTTGAGTGTGCAAACGCTTGACGTCGGAGAACCAGAGTTGCCACAGACGGTCTGGTGTGGTTGAAGAGGGAGAGGATCGAGGGCCTCACATGCGTAGCTACAGGGCTGCTGTCCCTAGCCAGGGCAGGCGGCTTTTCTGGAAGCAGCATGGGCCCCCAAGGCCCTTCCCTCAATAGGACCGATAGTATGTGTGATGTCCACACTGGCTGTGGGAGCACGGCAGGGGGCAGGAAGAGCCGAGCATCCGCCACCAGGCTTGTGCGCTGTTGGCAGGGAAGGGTCCAGATCCCTGTGCCCCAGGGGAACTTGTCGGGTGCTCGGCGTACCCCAGGACTGGCCCTGTGACCAGGGTGGTGGGCCAGCAGCATTTAGAAGGCCCTCACCACCCATGGGAGGCTGTTTTCCCGCAGGGACACACTAGAGGACCAGCCTTGGGCCTCCGTCGGGCTGGACAGAAGGCCACGCCGCAGGGAGTGGTAGCCTTGTTGCCCCGTGGCCAGCCCACAGTGAGCCCTGCAGAGGGGGCTGACCCACTGCCTTAGGCTCCTGGGTCCCAGCTCAGTGTGCTTGCCCCTTGGGTTCAGCCTCAGCCTGGAAGTTCTGGGAGAGTCCCTGGCTCGTCTGGCTTCCCTGCACGGTCTTGTTTGTGCATCCGTCTTCGGAACGGGAGCTAGAGCTGTTTCTGTCCTCGGTTCCCCTCCTCTGCACAGTCCGTTCCGAGCCCAGGTTTCCTCGGACCCCCCACTCCACCCCGGGCACAGCCGCTGCCCGAGCCCAGGCCTCCAGCTCGATGATTTTCTGCCAGGACTCATGCCCCTTGGTAGGTGGGAGCTGCTTCACCTCGAGGCTCTCTCACCAGGAACGTGGTGCCCGTGCTACACACGCTTCTCACATGATTTCAGCCCCCCGGCCCCCCCTTGGGGGACGGCGGTTAAGAACCCTGAGTAAAGCTGAGGACCGCGCAGGAGGGACACAGCCCTGCAACACGCTCGGTCCTCACGAGAAGGAGGTCACGGCCCATTTGTCGCCCGAGGAATCCGGAACCAGTGATCTGTGATGTTGGGGATTCTGGTAATGGATGGAAAAGGAAATCACATTAAAGAAATTAAAGGATCGATCCTGTGATTTAGAGAACCAGATGCAGGACACAGGTGTGGCCCGGTTCCTGGCTAACTCGGTTCTCAGCTCCTGCTGGAGACCACGCACCCCGGGCCTTGCTCCTGGGGACCCGAGCCCCGAACCAAGCAGGGAGCGCTGAGAAGCCTGCGCGTCGGATCCGGGGCGGCCGGCAAGCGGGACTGAGGCCTGGTGGTGCCAGGCTCGGCCGTCCCCCTGCAGCTTCCCCCCGTGCCCGCCGTCGGACGTGCACTGGGCCGCGGTGGCCAGTGTGAGGACCTGGTTAACGTGGACTGCGGGTGCCCTGGGCACGTTTCCTTCGGAAGTCTTGTGCTCACCACCCCTTCTCTCCTCCGCCCCATCCCCCCTAAATGTCAGGGTGCAGAATTGAGTGAAGTAAGTGGAGAGCAAGCGCCCTGAGGAAGAGGAGGGAAGAAGAGCTGCAGTGGAACCAGAAGGCCAGAAGGAGCACTCGGGCGGAGGCCTCGGTGGCAGGGAGAGGCCGGGCTCGCTGTGAGAGGCTCTGTTTCCCCAGGGTTGGACCTCTCCGGGCTCTGTTTTCTCTGCCTGTGGTGTGGAGAGGGCCACGAGTGACTTGGTCCCACGGGTTTGTTACGAACACTAAGGAAGGGAGCGCGTGTGAAGCCTGAGAAGCCTGCCTGGCACCTGCTCTACTTCTCAGCACCATGGGCACCCCTGTCGAGGCGTGGCCTCTAGGAAGTCGTGGCTCTTTGTCGCCAACAGAGAAAGCTGTGCAGCCCAGGCCCTGGCCACACAGGACAGGGTGAAGGAAGGGACGCCTCTGCATCAAGAGAAGCAGAAATGGCGGGGGGGGGGGCGGGGGTCGGGGTTGGGAACTGGTCCTCACTCCAGTTGCATTAACTGGAGAAAACAGGGTTGGTGGAAGTCTGCACTTTCCTTGCAGAGGTTAGCAGGATTCCACAAAAACTTGTGCCCTGCTTTGAAGCATCCCCAGGCCCTAAGTGGGTTTTGAAAAACAGGTGTCTGGCTTTCCCCCTAAGCCAAGAAGGCTGGATGTCTCCTGGAAGAAGACAGAGTGTCGTTTTGAGCAAAATGAGGAGCCATTTTGCAGCAAAAACATCAGGAACTCTCTTCTGAGTAGAAGTGACTTGTGATTGAGCCAGGCTGGAGGAGCAGGATAAGTGAGCCCAGCAGCGGTGCCCCCAGTCATGCTCAGGTGGAGGGCTCCACGCCCGTGGCTAGGGGCTTTCACAGGTATGTTGCTAGAACAGTCTCTCACCCTGCCATCCACCACCACCCCCAACACGGAAGGAAGCCGTGATCTGGCCAGTCTCCCTAAAGCAGATTAAATTTGCTCAGTAGGCATTTATTAAGTACCTGGATTTGAGACATGAGAAGAAAGTAAAATTAAGCGGATTACTTAACGCTAGTATCTTTCTGTATAAAATTCCTCTGTGTAGGGAGAGAACCATGGTTACCTGCTCGTACTTTAGTGTGAAGTGAATCACGGACAAAGACTGAATGTTCAGAGACCCTTGGGTTGCGAAACAGAGGTGGGGAGGCGATGCAGGCACCACCCCCGAGCCCCCCCCCGCCAAGGCCAGGCAACCTCCCTGTGACAGGTGACACCCCCAGAGCTCAGCTGATCCCACCCTCGTGTTCTTGCAAAGTTTCACTTCTCTCTGCTGTTCTTTGCTTCATTTTCACTAGCCAGAGATCGATTCTGGTTAAAGGCGGTCCTTCTTTAAAACACGAAAATGCAAATACAAGCACTTTACAGATAAAAATAGGACAGCATTGCTGTTTTTATTCCTTCCTTTTTTTATTCCTCAGATGTTTTGTGAGTTCCTATCGTGGTCACATTTTAGGGTTCACATTTACAGTAAGTGTGGAGAGAGGACATCCGTAAGAGTCGCTAACACGGGTGTTGACGCTGTGCCCATCACGGAGCTAAGCGGTTTGCGTTCTTCATCTCATTTAAGCTGCACCTGCCCTTGGAGGTGAGCAGCAGGGAATAGTGCCGCTCACTAAGCAGGAAACCAGAGGAAGCCATTCGCCCAAGTTCCACAGCTGGTAAAGCAGCAGCACCAGGAAGCCACAGCAGTTCAAGTTCAGAGCAGGAGCTTTTAACCTTCTCGGTGCCAGCAGTGGGCTTCCCCGGCGGCCCGTCCTGCAGCCGCCCAGCCCCCGGCTCACGGTTTCCGGACAGCTGCGTGGCCAGTGCACACACAGAATCTTCCTCGTCTTTCCCAATGATCTCCACGGCCCTGGGAGGGGGCGGTCGGGGACGCGTCCTGGGTGCGGACAGGCAGCCGGGCACCCAGTAGGTGGCTCCGCTGGGAAGCACGGGGGCGCCCGAGTCACCAAGGCAGCTGGGCAGAGCGTGCCCTCGCAGGGCCTGCTGCCCGGGGCCCCTGCTCTCGCCGGCTGCCCTCGTGTTTGGAGCCCGGCCAAGCGGGCCTCTTGCTAAGGTGGCGTTTCTCTTCCCTCCACAGGCATGAATGCTCTGCAGTTACAGAACCTGGCAACGCTGGCGGCCGCCGCGGCCGCGGCCCAGACCTCAGCCACCACCACCAATGCAAACCCCCTGTCCACCACGAGCAGCGCCCTGGGAGCCCTCACCAGTCCCGGTAAGGGGGTGCCCTCCCTCTGGGGACGTGGGGAGGACGGCGCCCAGCGCGGGCTGCGGGCGTCGAGGGTGGGGGGACTGGACCCGTGTGAAGTTTCCTAAGGACCCGGAGCGCCAAGGCCTGTGCGTTTGATTTTCCGAGGCAGACAAGGAAGAGAGTGTTCTGGGAGGGACTCCACCACCGAGCTGGTGGCCGGCCCCCGCCCGCTCCGGTCAGCGCTCCAGCGGGCGCCTCCAGGAGGGGCCTCCCTCTCTCCCTCCTGTGTGTGCGGCTCTCTTTGTCGCGGGCCTTAGCCATTCAAGAACTCTCTGCTGCGTCTCAACATCGCTAGTCATTCCGGCGTCCTGTTTTCACAGCCGCTCCGTCCTGCCCCTGCCCGTTTGCTTTCAAAACCCACGGTCTAGAGAGGACCATCGTCGTTGTTGGCTCCCGGTCGCCTTCTGGGCGATGCAATTTAAAGTCTTTCTCCTCGGAAATGTTGTCGCCTTATTCAAAGGCAGATGCCATTTTTCTTTTCATCTGAGCCAGACATAATGTGGTTGCTTAGATACCATGATTTGTGTCTTAAAAACTGTTTTGCTGGCTTTTCTTCCTCTCTCAATTTTCTAGGCCTTGATAGATGAGGCTCCCCCCGCCCCGGGTGCACGGAGGAGGACTGCCGGGCGCTGGCCGGGCTCCCTCCCAGCCCTGCAAAGCCCACGGCCCTCTGCCGGCTCTGCCCAGCGCACTAGCGGGCTGTTGAAGAAACTCCCATGGGCCAGCGCGGGGCTCGCTTTCAGAAGAACCCAAAAAACACGGCAGGCCGGCTTTCTTAAGGCTTTTGACCACAGGAAGCAGTGGGGCCGCCCGGGGAGCCTGTGCCCCCCTCAGAAGCCAAGCCTGTGGCTTGCTGATGAAACCCTGGGTATGGCACACATTTCCCTGAGTCCAGGCTGCAGAGACACGCCGCAGAGACATTCAGGAGAGGCCGGGGGGGACTCGTCGTGCACAGCCCTGTCCTCCGCAGCAGCAGCACAGAGCTGTGTTGACTTGGTTCTCTAAAATGTCTTCCAAAACGTACCGTTACCATATGCGGGCCTCGTTTGGCACAGTAGATGGTATTTCCAAAAGATCAACTTTCAGCCGTTTGGGTTTTTTTCCAGCAAATTAAGTCACAACTCTAATACGGTACATAAACTTGTTACTTAAGTAAATCCTCCAGTGACTCTGTTTAAGAAATAGACATTTTTCAGGGCACCTGGGTGGCTCAGTCGGTTAAGCGTCTGCCTTCGGCTCAGGTCATGATCCTCAGGGTCCTGGGATCGAGCCCCATGTTGGGCTCTGTGCTCAGCAGGGAGCCTGCTTCTCCCTCTCCCTCTGCTGCTTCCCCTGCTTATGCATGCACTTTCTCTGTCAAATAAGTGAAGAAAATCTTAATCTTAAAGAAAAAAAAAAATAGGCATCTCTGACATAAATTCCCCTTTATAAAAATAGTAGTGACTTTTCTTAAAAGCAAGTTAAACATTTGACCTCGCTGATTTACCTTTTTTATAAATCAGATTGAAAAGCTTTTTCTTAAATAAGGATGTTTGTCTCCCCTATGAGGACTATGGAATGATTACATTAAAAAAGCACAAACTATCATATACACATTTTATTGTATCTTTAGTCAGAAGCTGGTGGGTTTTTTTCTTAAATTTTTTATTGTTATGTTAATCACCATACATTACATCATTAGTTTTTGATGTAGTGTTCCATGATTCATTGTGCATAACACCCAGTGCTCCACGCAGAACGTGCCTTCTTTAATACCCATCACCAGGCTAACCCATCCCCCCACCCCCCTCCCCTCTAGAACCCTCAGTTTGTTTTTCAGAGTGCATCGTCTCTCATGGTTCGTCTCCCCCTCCGACTTACTCCCCTTCATTCTTCCCCTCCTGCTATCTTCTTCTTCTTCTTTTTTTTTTTTTTCCTTAACATATATTGCATTATTTGTTTCAGAAGCTGATGTTTTTAACTCTGTTTTACTTGGAGAGAAAAAAACTAAAAATCATTTATAATCTGATTGCTTTTTATTTGCTTATATAAAAATAAAGAGGATTAGTAGCTTTTTTTAAAAAAAGGCAAATCAATGTTAGCTATATTTGGCAAAAGTAAATTATAATTTTTCCAACCTTGATCTTCATCTTCTCTTCCTTTTATCAAGAGTAACCAGCAGAAGCTGACCACATCATAATAAAGGGAATAAAGTAGGAAATAATTGGTAATTATTGGTAATGAAGTAGGGAAAAAAAGAAAATTTGTCCTTAAATGTCAAGGGGCCATGTAGCCTACAGTTTGGACCATCAGCCCTGAAAGTCTTTAACTTTGATATATTGAGTACTGTAGTGACATAGAAATTGTTCTGCCATTCCAGAGACGGACCATTATCATAAGCGGATATTTTGGCTAATGATACGTGGCCTGTTGTTTGCTTGTGAGAGTTCATTTGACTTTATTAGGATATGTTCTCCCATTGTGATATTTGGGCTGGAATGTGCCTTGGCTCTGGGGAATCAGAACTAATATTTGAACGTTTCGTTCTTTAAAAGAAGACTTGTCAGTTTAAGAAGTCAAGTGCACACAGGACATGAGTTGGTCAGTGTAGACAGCGGAGTTGAGCGATATACCAGCTATGAGGGGCTGTCTGGTGTCAGGCCCTGGCCCGGGTGCAGGGGGGCCGGGGGAGCAGGGAGCAGAGCAGACGTGCCCCCTGTTCTCAGGAGTCTTCCACTTGGTTCGGGGATCTCAGACAACAAGCAGGTCAGCACGCCCCATATATGCCAGGCCAGGCGGTGCTGTGAGGACACACCAGACCGACCGTGGTGGACAGTGAAGGGAGCTGGAGGCCGCCTGGTTTGCTAGGGAGGGAGCATTCAGGTGAAGACAGAGCAAGCAAGCGAGAAGGTGGGAGGGCACTGGCACCATCACTCACCAGCAAGGAAGCCATGGTGCTGGGGGCAGAGGTGGGGGGCTCCATGTCCCTGGATTCACGTGCTTTCCATCCAGTAGGGTCAGCAGCTCAAAGACGCTGGAACCTTTTTCCAGTGGGGGGTACTCAGACAGTGGAGGAAGATGGCCTGTGTGTTTAAGGAACTTTAAACACATTTGACCATTTTCAGGTTTTTCCTGAGCTCTTAACGAAAGGGAAAATGTGTCCTGAGATCTGTTTCCCTTCTCCCCACAGCACAGTGCCCTTACCTTCGCTCTCAGAGAGGCGTTTTGCCCTTCCCTAAGTTCTGCTGGGGCACCATTGAAAGTGGTTTTTCTCCTCTCTACTGAGCAATGCTTTGCTTAACAGCTGAAAGTATCTCATTAGAATCCTGACCTGTAGCAGCAGCAAGAATTTTAAATCTACATGTCAATTATTTTTCTTAAGATAACCAAAAAAATCTGGCATTTAAGTGAAAGTAAATTATTTCTCTAATTTCCACCAGGGACTTTTTCCAAGTCACAGAAAATGTGGCTGGTAGAATTCATGACCCCCCCACTTCATCAGAGCAATTTTCTATGAAATGAAAGGTGTATGAAGTAGTTCCCAAGGCTAATGCCATTATTTATTTTTAAATAATAAAAAACAGGACCTGTCATCATGTACCGCTAGCAGTCCGGTCCGTCTGTGAAATGCACTGACCCCCCATCGCATGGGTCCCGCACAGGCCTTGGCTTTACCCTGTTTTTAAAGCTGTCCCCTACACTTCAGACCAATCCGTCTTGAAAGGAAAGGGCCAAGTCAATCCCCCAAACTATTAATTTTTTTAATAATTGTAAATTTAGCCTTTCAGTTTTGCATACCCAGGCACAGTCTCCCCACAGCATTATTATAAATTATTTTAAACAGTCTATACTTTAAAACATGAAAGATTAAGCTTTAATTTTTGTTAAAAAAAAAAAATCCCCTTAGGCAATAAATAGGTTCCTTTGTCTCATGGCCTTGAAATAAAAATTAAAACAGTTTAAATTGCCCATGGTTAGCATAAGTGTTTCATGCAATTATCAGATGGTAGTGAATAAAATTAGAAATTAAATCATGAAAGAATAAAAACCAGGTAAATGCATATTACGCCTTTTATGGGTTTCTCACGGTTCTTTTGAAGCCTAATTTAATCGTGTTTCTTGTCTTTTATTTTGATGATAATTTTTCCTTTGTTTACTTCATTCTCCTATTTAGTTAATTAATTCTTGGGTCATTTCCTCTCTAAATCTTGAACCTGCTTTTGAGGAATGTGTCTCTGTGTTGGTATAAAGAAGAAATTGTCTACAAGGTGTGCAGTGAGGTCTTAAAGAAAGATGGTAATGTTGGTCTTCTCCCCCGCTCGTGGATTTGTTGTTTTTGCCGGGTGATTTTGAGAGCTTGAGAGAGGGAGCATTACTATCAGCACCCAGGCACGTGTCTTTGGCATTTTCTGTCTCAAACATAGTATTGCGTTCATGTACACCGTTATTCCACTGACCGCCTTCTTTTTTTTTTTTTTAAGATGTTCTAAAATTCTCCAAATGCTTCTGCAAGTACACTCAATCAAGTGCACACTTCAGGATAATAGATAATTTCCTTTGATAGTATATAAGGCATTTTAAAATGTTAGGGAGGATTTTTTTTCCATTCCCACCGTTGGCTTTTCAAATAGTTCTCCCTTTACATCGAGGCAATATTTTTTCCTCCCCATCTTCAAGAGGTGGCCTGCCTCCTTGAAGGCGGGGACAGATAATACAGTCCCGAGGACACGGTGGCCCCTCCTCGGGGGCTGTTTAAGGTTCACGGAGCCTAGAGTTGTTTCCATGGGATCCTCACTTCCTGGGGTCCTCAGGTCCAAAGGACCGGTGAGTGGTTCCCTTCAGCGTCACACACCCCTGTCACCAGGGCAGCTGCGTGAGGAGTTATCCTCAGGGTCACCCCAGAGGCTCTCAGCGTGACCAGAGGCGTTTGTCCCCCACACGTGTATCTGCGTGCGAACCCTGCGGGAACCCGTGTCACGGATGTG